TATATAAAAGGAGTTATAATTATACCGGTGTAGTTTTTATTAAGTATTATAGTATTCAATAACTTTATATTAAATATAAATTTTGTAAATCTAACCGTTAAATTGAAATTTCTCTACTCTTAAATTATATATACAAAATTTTATATTAATCCAAGATGATTTGATACTTCATTCTTATAAAACAAAATTAACATATCATTTCAAAATATATTAAAATATGAACACTTTAATTATCTTCAAGTTGTTTAATTTTAACAAAATTTGATATACATGTATAAAGTGATATGAACTTTCAACTATTGGATTTACAAAATTTACAATTAATATAAAATTATTGAGTGGTATAATACTTAGTAAAAGTTACATCGGTGTAATTATAACTCCCCTCTATATATATAATATAATATAATTTTTTTTTAAGTTTTTCTATTAAAACTTTATTTGCTTAAGAAATTTTAAATAATAAAAAGGCTTTATTGGAGAGAAACTATGACAAAGACAATCCTTCAATAAAGATTATTTATTTATTTTAAGAATAAATTTTGATAAGAGTCATGATTTAGACAAGGTCAATAAAGTTATTATCTTAGACTATCGGCCAGTTTTCTTATTTTTATTTGTTTATATATAAAATAATCTAAATAATTTAAATATATATTTAATTATATTATATTATTTGTAATTAAATTTTTTTATGGATAAGTTTATATAATTCTTTAAATATAGTTTCTATATATAGATATTACTGTAAAATTATTAGTTTGAGAAATTTTATTTTATTATATTTATTTTGAATTCAATAAAAAAGTAGTATTCGAATGAATATAAACATTAAAGTTTATAAAAGGATATTATAATCTTTATATAAAAAAACGAAAATGACAGTGATAAGGATTTGATTAAATATTAATTCTTTTAATTTTTGTAAAAAAATATTTTTCAATTTTTTATTATTTTGTATAAGTGTCAAATAATTTTATTTTAGTCACAACTTATTTAAAAATATTTTAAAATATGAAATTACTTTAAAAAATTTATTTTAATTTCAATAAATAATATTTTTTAAAAATATTGTATTAATTTTTTTTTAGAAATTATGACTTTTTTTCTCTCTATAAATTGAAATCAATTTTTATATATTAAATATGATCATCTATCTTACATGAGAGTAATTTTATGAACTTTTCTTTAATGAGAAAATTTTTAAGTAAATTAAACTTCTCATCTAATTTAATTTTTATCAATCAAAATTATTTATCAATTAAATATTAATATTTTAAAATAAATTATTAATAAATAAAATAATATTATGCTACAAGATAAATTATTTATCGTAATTTTAAAATATAATTTATATGTTTGGATATATCTATTTATATTTAAATTTTAAACATGATTTATATATTCAAACATAGTATGTTTATATATTTATAGTTTATGATAAACTTTATTTATATATAATAAATATTTAGATGGTTTATTATACAGTAAAATACTAGTTGTTAAAAAAAATATTAACAAACAAATTAGTGTTTCATTAAAAATATTAAATTATATTCTTAATGCATGAAATACATGTTAATTTATAGAATGTTATAAATAATACATGTAACTATTGTCATTATTGTTTTTTTAAAATTATTTTTCAAATTAATTTGAGTCTATGTTGCAAAATAGTTATTGAATGAATTATTATTAAGTGAAATGTTGAAATTTTTTATCTATTAGATTTAATTAATAATTTCTATTTTTTTACAAGCAAAAAATTGATTGTTATTAAAAAATATAAAACTTATTAATTATTTGAAAGTAACATTTAAATAAATTTTTTTTTGTTTTAGACCTAAAATTGTTAGACTTGGCCTAAGTCATGGCTAAGTAGGGACCAATCTATGTTTACGGTTGTGGGGACAGTTACCCCCACTAAGTTTTCAACTTCTTCTATTTTTGTATGCATATATCATTTGTATTGTCCTTATTATATTAAAAAAAATATTTTCTCCACTCATTTTTTTTAAGTTTAAAACATTATTTTAATATTATAAAAAAAATCCTATAACTCTTGTTCACCCATAATTTCTTATCAATTTTGAGAATTATGTGATCAAAATAAAAGTTATTATCCATATAGGCAAAAAAAAAAAAAAAAACACAACTCCTTTGTTTATCTTCATTCCTTCTTTCTTCAAAAGTTCATTATCAATAATATATCAAAAGTTATAAGTTCTATATTATTTATTTATTTTTATTTTAATAGAAAATTAAGTATTTTTATGTTTATTTACTCATTTTATTTTTTATTTAAAAATATTATATTTTATGAAATTATATTGGTTAAATACTTTTTTAATGACTTATATAATGAGAGAGAAAGAATTTTAATAGTTTTGAAAATGAAGAGTTAACTAATAATAAACTACATGATAGTTTATATGTTTTAAGTCAAAAGTTGAAAAATTAAAAGTTTATAAGTTCGCTAATAAATTAATATGACATGAAATAGTTTTTATACTGAGAATGAGAGAATGACAAGAAAGACCAAATAATTTCTAAATTAAAAAGAGAAAAAAAAATTAATTAAATTAACAAGAATAAAAATTGAGAAAGAAAATAAGTTAAGAGCTTATAAGCTATAAACTACTTCAACTAACTTATAAAAATATACTATAAGTTCTTAAAATAATATTTGTACAAAATTTTGTATCAAATAAGTTTATTTTAGTCAAACTAGCTTATAAACTAGTCACAGGAACTTATAAACTCCTAGAATACTTATTCAAACCCATTGAAAAATTTATCTAATGTTTTCAAAATATGAAAACTTTGTATAGATCAATTTTGATGTATATTTTATGCTTATAAAAATATTGTTATTATATTTTGAATGCTTTAAATTTATGATAAATATTACTCATTACTTATAAAATTTATAGATCCTTTATTGTGACTAAGACATGCTCAATAAAGTCATTATCTTATATTCTTGACAAGTTGTTATATATATATATATATATATATATATATATAATCTTATGTATTAACAAATTAATTACAAAAAATTTAATTAAATATATTTCTTAATTATTTAAATTATTATATATATATTTTTAAATATGTCTATATATAGATATTGTTGTAAAATTATTAGTTTAAAAAATTTTATTTTATTATATTTATTTTAGTTTCAAGTGATTGGGAGATTAATAAAATATGTTATTAACATACAATTTACTCAATATCATGCCATAGTCAATATAACAATCGATTAACATTTAATTGTTGAATCAAAATTATATATTATATAAAATTGAAGAGCTAAATTACAAAATTAAAAACTAAAGAAACATAATTGTAGTTGAATATTACACAGGAACAAAAAGTACAATCACCCTTATTTTTAAAAACATGGAATCGGGGTTAGTAAAGTAATATGCTTCTAACCGTATATAGTGAATCCCTATAAAATTTAGAATAAATTATACCGATTCTTCATGAAATTTCATAAGTTTATAACAAATTTTGTTTATTAAATTATGCTTTTATTCTTTTTTTATTTGTTAGACTCATTTTATCCTTAATTTTTTAAGATATTTTTTTTTAATATTTTATCTCCCAAATTTAAGTGAATTTATTTCTTTTGAAATAATGAATATATTCTATTTTAAGAAATAATTTTGAATTATTTTTTTTACCAATTTAACACTTGAAACTTGTATAAAAATTATTAAACATAACAAAAGTTCGAACAAAAAGTATTGTAAATATGATGAAAAATTGCATAGAAGTAAGTTTAAATATTAGCTAAAAATTCAAAAAAAAATTAATTTCATTTTTTTTAATTGCTCATATGATACATTTTTCACATGACTTTTGTTATGTGTATAGCCTATTTAGATTTAAACATTAAATGAATTTCATAACTTTTATATAGATGAATCTAATATTATAAATTTTACGTTTTATATCAGTAAAAAATTATTTTAAAATTGTGTCATAAAATTAAAAAATTTTGTTTTAAAGAAATCAAATCAATCTAAATAAAAAGATAAAAAAAATCAAAATAAACCGATAAAATCCTTAAATAAATCTAAGAAATAAGATAAAAAAAATTAAAAATATATTTTTTATTTATTTTTATACCAAGTCTAATTACTTTATTTAAAAATATAATACTAAAGTTAACTTTTTAATAATTTAAAAAACATGCTATTATATTCTTTCATCTTATATTTTAACTTATTATAAAGGAGATCATGAGATATATAATATTTTTTATCTCTACTTTTGAATATATTATTATATCTCTCAAATGTTAAAAAATAATTTTTATATATTTTCTAAATCAAATACCATATATATCTAACCGTTAGTGGCAATCTCTTAAAAAGAATGTTGTTGATATATTTTTTTGGCTTAAATATATTTTTAATCTTTTAAATTTAAGATAAATTTGTTTTTGATTCCTCAAATTTAAAATTATTATTTTTAGTCCTTGTAATTTTTAAAAATCTTGTTTTAATCTCTTAGGTCACTAATAATATATTTAAAAGTAACTAATTAAGACAGTTATGCAATATCAGCCTGATTTAACGTAATATTTTCACTAATAAGAACACTAATAGGTAGATTTTATGCAATAATGTTTAATAAATTTTTTAATAAAATTTGAATGTAAGGACTAAATTAAGATTTTTTAAAATTACAAGAACTAAAAATAACAATTTTAAATTTGAGAGACCAAAAATAGATTTAACCTAAATTTGAAGGACTAAAAAAATATTTAAAAAAAAAAGTATATAAAAAAGCAATAATGGAATCTGAAAGCGGGTAGAAGCGTAATTTAGCATAAGGCAAAAAGCGAAATGAGAGGAAGCATCATAGTCAACATCACATTCACATGTTCTCATACATACATCCATCTCATGCACAAACCAACCCACCCATGTGGGGGCACACATCCACCACCGCCACCACATATACTAAACGACGTCGTCTTCCCCTCGCGCATGCTCTCCCACGCCGCCGCCGCCTCCTGGCTCCGCCGCCGCCGGATCCGCTACCTCTTCCTCCTGCTCTGCTCCCCGCTCCTCCTCCTCCTCCTCTGCGCCGCCCTCCCCTTCCTCTGCGCCGCCCACCTCTGCCGCAAGCTCCTCCGCGCCGCCCAACAGCACGCCGACGCCGACGCCGACCTCGGCCGCTGCGAGGAAGGGTGCTCCGATGAGGACAAGGGCCTCCTCCACAGGTACCTCGAGGATCAGCTTCTCCTCGTTCGATCCATGTACGAGTGCGGCGACGACGATCAACAACAAGAACACCAAGAAAAAGAAGATTCTAGAACGCTTCGCGATGTTGAAAGGTTAGGTTGCTGTAGTACTACCACCAATACAATCCCCTTGCTCAGATAATTGCAAACAAAATCATATCAAAATTTTTAATTTTTTTTAGGGTTTATGCCTTTGTGTGTATATACCTCTAATTTTGATGTTTGACATTTTTTTTATATGAAAAAAAAAGGTATTCAGGTTTAATGTTTTAAATTAATTGTTTATTTCTCTAATTTCCTTGAATTGAAGGAGAGAAAGTGCTTGTTATCTAGGATTGAATAACTCTTCTTGTTAACTACAGTACCTCCTTTCTCTTATGGAATATATTTTATTTTGTAAAATTAAGTAATATAAATATTTTGATTTAAATGATATTGTAGTTGGTTTCTTAATCTTAAAATTTTGAGATAAAAATATTTTTTTTAATAATAAAAAGGTATGAGAAGGTGGTCATTAAAATTGTATTCTTTTTGTATATTTATTTTAATAAGAATAAAAAATATAATTATTTTTTTAACTTTATAGATTAATTTAATATTTTTATTATATTTTTTTTTCAATTTTACTTCACATGTTAGTTTATACGTGTAGTTAATTAAAAGTTATTAACACAACACTTGTTAATGACTTTATGGTATTAATTAGTGGGAGCGGCTAAAGCAAGAGCGGCGTTAAAAAGATCTCATGCGACTTGTGTTCAAATTTGTAGTTTTCTATGACTTGGAAGAAATATAATAAAGGAAAGGGTAGTGTATCACTAGTATGATTTATGCAACTAGAGGAAACGGTTTAAGTTAAGAGCTAATCACTTATATATTTATGGTGTAAATTTTTTTTACATCGGTAATCAATAGTAGCATGTCAGTTGCTTATTTAATAAAATAAAATAAAATTTTAAAAATTTTCATTGGTTATTAGTGTAAAAAAAAATTTACACTGGCTGTGTATTGGTGATTAATTCTTAAGTTAATGAATTGTATAATCTGGATAATTAAGGTAAGTGTTGAAACTTTTATTTTATTTTATTCAAATGGGCCAAATGTAGATAGTTATTGAGACCTGCATTAAATTAGAGTATGTTTAAATATATGTTGGTGTAATTAATTTTGAATCGATGTGAATTTGTTATATTGATTTTGAATAAATGTAATTTAAAAGCAATGTGATTTTTGTTTGAATAATTTAAAATATGAATGTAATTCTCATATTAAATGTTATTTGAAAATTTGTTATCAAAATTGATTTTAAATGTATAATTACTAAAGTAAGCATATTTATATATTATTTTCATATACACGTCTTTTGTTTAAAATAAGAAAACAAAGTTTAATATGTTTGTAATATAAATTTGAATAAAAATAAATATGTTTGCATTATTAATATAATAAAATACATATAATTTAATAAATGTATGTTTGATAATTATAAGAAATGACAATTAAGTTATAAACTAGAATAATAGATATTTTTTTTCTTGGAATGTACAATATTAAGCTTGACTGGGTTGCAAAGGCTGCACGCTTCGTTGGCGGAACGTGTATTGATTTCCGCCAGACGCACCACAAGCTTGGGTGTAAGTGTAACTTTTTGTTTTCTATTTTTGTTTTCTTTTAATTATTATAACGCTTATTTTTATAATTTTATGAGATGTTACGTTTAAGAAAATAAAGATTAAAAATTTGGACGCTTATGCAAATATAATTAAACATTCATCATGTATATTTTTCCAAAGGAGGTAGAAAAGTGTTGTATCATTAGAAACGATGTGAAGACGCAAATGTTGGGCTAGTACTAGTAGATAGAATTTATTGAAGGAAAACCTTACACGTATCGAGTATGAAGGAGGGAGTTGCTTAAAACCAAAAATTATTTTGGCAGATTCAGTACTTGAAGGTTGCACCATGGCAAGATGCTCTAGTGATAAAGCTCCTTCGTGAAACGACCAATTTTTATACTATGTTGGATCACCTTAAGCGCTTATGGAAACTAACTACTGATTTTGCTTTGATGGATGTTGTTCATGGTTTTTTAATGGTTAAATTCGATAACTAGGATGATAGGAGGATGGCTGTAGAAGAAGGGTCTTGAAAGTTGTTGGATCACTATTTGTTGGTTTAATATGGTTCCTAACTTTCTTCTCAACAAAGATACAAATGAATAAAATGTTAGTTTGGTTGAGTTCTTTAGGTCTTAGCTTAATGTTCTATGATAAAAGAGTTCTTTCTATCAATAGTTGAGGTTACAGGGAAACCAATCATAATTAGAGCTGTCAAAACGGGCCAGTCCGGTCCATGTGGGCGGCCCACTTTGGCTCACCTTAAAAACGGGCCAACCCAACCCGGCCCACTTTTTTATTTTTTCAGAATATGGCCCGGCCCGGCCCACCACGGGTTGGTGGGTCAAACGGGCCAGCCCACCAACCCACAAAAAAAAAACAAAATTTAAGAAATTGGTACTAAACCCTAAAACAAACTACACTACTTTGCATTAAAAAATAGAAGCTAATTCGGTTATTATAAATTAGAGTGTAAATAAGAAATTGGTACGACATATTGAAAAATATATTTTTTAATTAATAAACATGAATGAATTATAGGTGTTCAAATTTCGATCCACATATCTCTAGCTTGTTGGAACCAAAAAGATATAATAATTTTGTCGGTTTGAAAATGATATGAAGGGGCCACTGAAATGCTAGAAAGATCAATAAAGATTAACATTTATATAGAGGGGCACCTTCGTGTGAAGCCTTAGTCAAACTGAAACAGTGAAAGTGTGAAACAAGTCTTCGTGAAGCACTGTGCGTAGTCCCGAACTGAAGCAGTGAAAGTTGAAACACAGCCTTCGTGAAGCACTGCGGCGTGGACGTGGTCCTGTACTCCCGTTTGCTTGTTAGAATAGGGTTTTAATTTTTTGACTGTTTTTTAACTGAAGCAGTGAAACTTGTCTATTGGGCTGGGCTGGCTCCTGGCTGTTCGGTTTCAATAAAAAAAAATAAGTGGGCTGGTGGGCTGCCCGGCCCACTACGGGTTCAGCCCAAGTGGGCCGGGTAAAAGTGGGTCGGGTTTGAATTTACCCACTTAACATAAAACTGCTATTTATTTTGGCCTGGCCCGGCCCGTTTTCAAGGTGGGCCGGGTTGGCCCACGGGTCACGGCCCATTTTGACGGCTCTAATCATAATGGATTTACATGCTTTAGATATTAAACATTGTTGCTTCACGCAAGTGTGTATGGAAATTGATATGAATAGTTCAATGGTTGGGGAGTTTGGTTGAACAATAGTTAGTACAAGGTAGAATATGAGGGCCTTCACAAAATTTGTGCATCTTGTGGTTGTTTCGGTCACTTTACACATGCAAGAAGATAGGTGAAACAACAAAAACTATATCTTCACCAAAAGTAATGTGCCCTCACCAAAAGCAATGTGCCCTCAAAATTCAGCATCTATGGTGAAGGAGAAGGAATGACTTCTAGTGTGTGTGGAGGAAACCCTAACAACCAATCATGGGAGCGATAATTCAACTCCATCATTGTAAGATTGATTAATGATGATTTGTTACATGGTGATTAGATGCATGATTGTTAGGAGGAAAAAAACATAATAACATAGTGTAAGAAAAGAAAAACGATTCAACATTAATGCTAATAATGTTGCAATCATATTGGATAGGAAAGAAAAAAATATTCTATCGATGACAGACATTTCTGTGAATAAGGAAATTATTAGTCAACATAATATTTTGGGGTCATCTAATCACCAATTTACAAATCAAAATAAATATGTTGGGAATCTTAAAAATAAGAGACCCTTTGTAAAGATCATGCAACCCCTATTGATATGATGGTTCAAAATTCTCATAAACAAATTAGGTCACATATGGATTCAATAGTTACACCACCCATGCAAAAAACAACTCGAGACCACTAAATCAAATGCACCCATCCTTTATGTAACACCCCTTAAATTATGAGATCTTAGTGGCTCCACTCTATAACAACTTCACATGATGACACTTCACACAACTCTTCGTCGGTCAAAACTCTTTGGGGGTAGCCCTTTTTGAGATGTTCGTCTACTTTTAGAATCAATGACTAACTCCACAAACCAACACAAGACTTTTCAGCATGTTTTGTCCTCATTTGGACACTTTCTGAGAAACTTCCCAAAAGGTTACCCACCCCTAAATTACTACAAGCCAAACCCATTTAATTATGAAGTTCTTTTGTATTGAGCTATCAAAAAGTAGATGCATCTTGTTGGTATAGGTAGTATAAATTAATTTTTTTAAGTTATCAACTACACAGTCTCACACTTGCATAATATATGGATTTCTCTTATTTTGGTGTGTTCATGCTGTTACACTTTATAATTTAGGGAATGGAGCCTAGTCAACCATGAATCTCTAGTAAGTGACAAATATTCATTATTCCACATGGATGGTTTTTTTTATGGAGTGTTTTAAAAACATGTTTATAGTTTTGTGGAACATCTGAAGGGAGGTTAGACGTTGCATGTGGAGGGATTTAATGGAATTAATTTGTTAATTATGCCAACCTTTTTTTTGTGTCTATGAAACTTATGCCCTATTTTCAAGAGTAGAAAAGAGTTGGGACTTGCTTGGTTATAAACCCCAATTTATCCAATAGGTTAATAGTCACTTAAGTGCAATATGTGTTCTTACAAATGTCAAGGATGCCACCTTTAGTTTAGTGGATTAGTTTCACTAGTCCATCACTTTCATTATTCAATAGAGGAATTTATCTTGACATTATTTAGTCGTTTATACTTTGTAGAATCCAATTGTTAGATTCTATCTTTGTATCAACTTAAGGCTTTGAAAAATAATATTACTGGATCGTGGCTTATGTTAGGGGATTTCAATGTGATTCATCTTTTATCTTATCTAAAACTCAATTAATGGATAATATGGTAGATGAATGCAACCTTATAGATCATGAAGCTAAAGGTGGCTCCTTAACTTGGCGAACAAATACTCCTAATGGTGGTCATATGAAGAAAAAATTGGATAGGTTTTTATCCAATCCTCAGTGACATGTATCTTACCCATTCTTTAGTAGAGATACTTCCAACTCACAATTTAGACCATAATTCTTTTTTGTTAAGTTGCATAAAGGCAAGTACAAGAAAAAAAAAAAAGATTGTTCCACTTTTAGGTGGCTTGGATTTCTCACCTTAGGTACATGACCCTTGTCTTTGATACTTAGAAGGCGTCTTTGGCCCTACAGGGAGGAAATTGGACCAAATTAAATTAAAGTCATTTGAATTTAATGAGAAGGTGTTGGGGAATACTTTTATAAGGAAGAGATAACTAGATGTGAGACTTTGTGGTATTCATAGAGAGTTGGATGCATATATGACCATGAGTTAATGGAATTTGATAATGCACTTCAAATTTAATATAATTGAGTCTAGCTCAATAAGTATGGATTCATAAACACCAATTTTTTCATACTCAAACTATTATTTGAAGAAGAAAAACAAATTATAGGTTTTGAAATTAGTGGTATTTGATGTATGAATAATGACATTCTTAAGAGGGAGGCCCATACTTTCTCTAAGAAGCTTTTTCAATCTTTTGATGTTTATCATCCAGAAAGCCTTGTTCTTGAAAACATTCCCCAATTTGAGGAGAATTTGAGGGAGGATCTTACTCAATTTGTATCTATGGGGTAAGTTAAACAAGTTCTACTTACTATGAAACATACAATATGTGGGGACTTGATGGCTTCTAGCCAATCTTTTATAGGGCTTATTAGGACATTATCTCTTTTAATATTTAGGAATTAGTTGCTATAACTAATGGAAACAAGGTGAGAAATGATTGATGGCTTGCT